ATTAAAAGCTCTAACAGAAAAGCCTTGACACACAAATTTAAGACATTGCCATCCCAAGCTATCTAGGTCACTTTGCAGCAAAATGTTATTGCTTCCGCAGCAAAATTGGCAAAAGTGCAAGACTCACAATCTGGCACACTTGCTGGAAATTGCCCAGTGCACCAATTTTTTCCAGTCACACATCACAGAACTGGACACTTATATATCAGCAAACACTAGAAGAGGGTCCCATTTCATCCTAATCATTCCACAATGTCTCTTAATTACAATGATCATGCAAAGATCCTGCTCTCTTCCTCTCTCTGAGGTCTTTTCAATTGTCAAGAATTGACTGTTAGTGCCAGGACAGCAGCCTGTTTTGCTCCTACGGTTAAGCTTCTATTGGCATATTTCTGTATGCTTGCATTTTCTGATGTTTGCATTTGTTAAGTTAAAGGAAGAAAGAAAGTTGAAGATAACTGAAGAAAAATCCTTTTAATAAGATGACAAGAGGAGTCCTTCAAGCAAGCAGCAGCTATACTTAAAAAAGAGGGTTTTCTCACAAGTTTTTTTTTTTTTTGTATAAATTACAGAGACAGAACAAATTTGAGAACAAAACTTAAGTCTAAAACATGCAAATGTGCAAGATATCTATCGTCACATGACAGTATAATTCAGAAAAGGTTTCAAACTGGAAAAACAGGTGTCTTGCCTTCCTCTAAAACTGAAGGATCCCCTTCCCCTTGCACAACAGGAAACAGTAAAGGCTTCAGGCACAAAGGCACAATCATCCCTCTATTTAGACACCTCTTTACAAAAGAGCTGCTACAAAAAAAAGCGGGGGGGGGGGGCAACCTACATATGAGCTACTTGTGTTTGACTCAACATTACTAATCAAGTTCTACTGAAACAAAATTTACCAAGGTCAACATGAGTCTGTGCGAATTACAGGAATTAATGTACCTAATGATCAAGGTAAAGGCAGTTTGAATAATCCTCCTCCACACTAAGACACTTCATATCTTAATAACTGCACATAAAGATCTTATGCTCACTGGAAAGGGGGAAGGGGGATTAAAAGGGAAAAAAAACCCAAGAACTGTGTTCTTTACATTCGTGTAGCAAAGCATATACATAATTACATTCAAGTAAACACACAAATTATTAATTTAATGCTTCTGTAGCAGAGATATGAAAACTTACAGGCAAACCAGGCTTCTACTTTGAATTTGTATTTGCCTTTGGGAGAGAGGTATACACTAAGTGACCTCTGGAGGCAACTTCCAACCCTGCTTAAATCAATTAATCACAGATTAAATATTGTACTGGTTTAAATGAGCTCTACAGTAACATTTAGTTCATGATGAAGGAACACTTCCTCCTCCCACACCTTAGTTTCACATTTTCTCTGGTATGAAAAATGTCAGTGTTCCAATTCATCTTTTATGCTAAAATATGTATATACATAAAAAATGAAGAGATATTCAAGGCATATCTGAAAACTTTCCATTTCTCTTTATGCAACAGACGATTCATTTCTTTAAAGAATCTTTTCCAGTGCTGCAAAAATGTCAGTGTCTCTTGTGACTATTGCAAACAATTCTGGTTTATTTACAAGCAGTAAAAAGCATTGTTTGATAATACAGATTAGCTAGCACTTTCTTCAGGTATTTTGATGCCTTGGTTTACATTTAGTACATGATTCTTGCTTTAAAAGCAAATGCACAGTAAACAAGTGTTTACAGCTCTTCTAGAATCATGAGAAGTTCTGTTCTGTAGTTAACACAAGATAGATATATCAAACAGCTTACTAAGTTTATCATCAAGATGTGGCTAGCAGAAACTTCTCCCTTCTTCATCTAGGCATTTACGCACTGAGGTAATTGAGATAGAGCAATCACTTCACTATGGTCAACACAACCACTTCAGCATAAGACTCAGACATTTCTTACTTTTTACAGCAACCACACCTTTTCAGCAACCACACCTATGACTTTCAGAGGAAAATGTGTTGTTAAAATAAACACATAACCACCAACAAAAAGAACACCACAGTAGTGAATTCACAGAGAAAACATTTATTTAATCACTATACCTCTTCAATGCCAGCAATGTTATTTACTGCCAGTTTTTTGAGGGAACTCTGAAGTTTTTTATCATCAGCTGTTGCCGTTCTGTGCACCACCTTCTTCTTTCTGCGAGCTGTTCCCTTGAAAAGAATCAGGGGACAAAAAATCAGTAATGTTCAGTCTAGTTACACCTCCATTTTAAGTCACACCACACTTCATGCAAGGCCTCTTTAAGCATAAAAAAGCTCTGCAATCAAAAATTATTCTTTTTCATCACCTACAGTTGAGCAGCCAGTCTCAAGTTCAAGCTTTCTTTTCTAACTGCAAGACAAATGACACTGATCCCCTTCAGTACTTTCTACAAAGTAAATTGTAAGACTAATACTAGTAAGCAATGTATAAGAGCACTTCCTTAGAACTTCTCACGACTCTTTTTCTCCTCCCCAAAATGAAACACAAAAGCAATAATTTAAAGAGTTCAAAATTTCATTGATTTCATTCATAAACAGACAAGTAAAGTGACAGCACTTTCAAAATTTCTGCTTTGCCAACCTCATATGGAAAAAAAAAAGAGAAAAAACAAATTAAAAAAAACCCACACCTTTGTGCTTAGAGGATAAACACCAACATTGAGCCACATACACATTTTTGGTGTCGTATTATTAGCTATGCACGAGACCAGTGGAAAAACCAGCTCAGTGTACAGTCAGACAAGCTCTGGAGCTGCCAAGAAAGGAAGGATTTTAACTTCCCCAAAGGTTTCCCAATAGAAAGGAAGAACAGCAGGTAAGCTCATCCTGAGCTAGCAGAGAGCACAGCCAAACTCCAAATTAAAAGGAAAGCACACAGTAAAAACTGCATATTCAATAACTGTGAACTGAGAGCAAAATGCATTTTAGCTAGCAGTACTATGATCCCTATAAGAGAATCATATTTTAGGCCTCTAAAGTATACTTAAGTTAGATGTTCTATGTACTTAAGTCTACATTTCAGAAAATAAGTTTCAGAGAACTTTCACCTTCAAACCATAAATTACAGGAAATAGCTCAGCTCTGAGGATATTTTGTGTTTTTCTTACCTTTCCTCCTATTCGGACCTGAGCTTGAAGCTTGGCGAGTTTTTCTTGATTCATGGTGCTATTCCTAAAGATCAAGATATAAATACAAGCTAATTATCAAAACATTAAGAAGGATAGTTTGCACAAACCATTCTGGAAATATAATTAAAAATGCAGTCAAAATAGGGGAAAAAAAAAAAAAACCACACACACAAAACCATATCCTCCAAAAACTCTATAGGAAGTTCTCCAAACCAGTACCAATACACGGCAAACAAAAGGGCTTTAAAACCATAACACCCAGACAACAACAAAAAAGATGGGTGTGTTTAGTTGAAGCACCTGCATTATTATGACACAGATTATCAGGAAATACAGTTTTGCAGCAATCTTGGCAAGGGCATATTATCAGTTAGTGGACAAGTGTGTCATTTCACTGTTGGAACTGAGGAGCCTGAACTGCTCAGAACTGATCCAAAGCAGCACGTAGAGCCCAAACGTTCCCACGACAAGGGAAAACTAATTAAGTCATGAAAGAAACACATCTTCATTTTACCTTTAACAGAACTCAGGAAAAAAATACATGTATTAATCTACCTTTAATACTATTTCCAAACAACAACCATCACTATTTTAAGCTAGTTAGCCGGCTGCAGACTAGCCGAAGCCCACGTGTGAGCAGGTTTCCTTCACGGGCCTCCTGCACAGCAGCCGCGGGCTCCACACCCGGGTCAGCCGGCGCGATGTCGGCCAAGGGGCTCCGCGGGTCTGCCCGGGCGCACAGCACCTCCCGCCTCCTGCCCGCCGAGGAGGCCACCGGCCACCCCGAGCGACGGGACTGCCGCCTCGAAGAGAACCCGGTGGGGGGGACCCGGCTCCCTCCAGCGCTGGAACAAAGGCCCGCGGCGCCGCTCGCGGCCACCCCGCAGGGCGCGCGGAGGAGGCCCCGGTCCCTCGGCAGTCGAGTGAGGGGGATGGAAGGGGCCAGGCGGAGCTGCGGCGCCGGCCGCTGCCTCGCGGTGCGGCCGGGGGCGCCGCACGCCTGGGGGGACGCGGAGGGGCCGGGCGGAGCGGGACAGGGGGCGCGGGGACGCTCTCACCTGCGGCCCCTCCGCAGCCCGACACGCGGTGAGAACAAGATGGCGGCCGAGGAAGGAAAGAGAAGCGCACAGAGAAAGGAAGCCCCGCGCCACGTGACGCCCCGGCCCCGCCCATGACCGCGCCGCCGGGGCGCGCAGCCGCGGGCGCGCGGTGCCTGCCGGGAGTTGTAGTCCTCAGGCGGGCGGACATGCCGACCACGCATGGAACGGGCCGTGCGTAGCGGTAGCGCCCCTGGCTGTCAGCGCAGTGCGGCACCACAGCGGCTCGCTACCTCTCCTCTCTTAATCAAGAAAATGTTTTCTAATAAAAATGTCTTTTTTATTAAGAAGGGGGAAGGAAATCCCAGGCTTTGCAAAGCGCTAGTACCCACAGAGTTGCTGCCCGCACAAGTCAGTTTTGCAAATTAACCCAAGTCTCCAGCGAAGCTGGTAGCGACCTCAACCTTCCCAAGCACCTGGGGCAACTCTCGAGAGTCGCGGAAGTAGTGTCCATTTAACGGGGGAAAATAATAATAATAAAGGAGTCAAAACCCAGCGTGTTTTTAACCACGGTCGGGGGGAGAGGGGACACAAGCGCTTCGGGATGGCCCCGGCGGGAGGGCGCTGCTGCAGCGAGAGTCCCCCCTCCTGCTGCCCTCCGCGTCTGCACCGCCACACAGCACCGCCCACATCCGCCGCACATCACTTCCTGCCCTTCAAATTATATATATAAATAAATTAAATAATTAAAAGGAGGGGGAAAAAAAAAAAAAAAAAGAAATCCGCGCGACCGGCGCGGTTCCCGAGGCGGAGGCAGCCCCTGTGTGAGCGCGGCGGCCCCGCGCGGCGCCATGGCGGCGCTCGCCGTGTCCTGCCTGTGCCTGGCGCTGGCGATCGCCGCGGCGGCCGACGGGCTCGGAAAGGGTCAGGCTGGGGCGAGGGGCTGCCGCGGGGCCGGGAAGGGCGGCGGGCCGGGCCGGACGGCGGGGCTGCGGGCGCCGGTTCGTTCCGGTTCGTTCCGGTGGCGGCGCCGCTCCCTGGGGCTTCCCGCTCTCACCCGTCGTTGGCGTCGCCGCCTTCAGCCCCCGCTTCCCTGGCCGCTCGGGGAGCGGGGTGACGAGCGGGGGCCGGGCTGCGCCGCGGCCGCGGCAGGGGCTGCGCGAGGGGGTCCCCGGCGGAGCCGGGTCCCGGTAGGAGCCCGGCTCGGGGCAGCGTCCTGCAGCGTGGGGAGCCCCCAATGCTCTAGTGGGCACGTTGTGACTTCATGGGCATTCCCTAATCACTAATATATTATCTATTGCATTTAAAAGCAACCTGGAGCTCACCACAGAGTGTTTTTGTCATTGAAATAATAACTTCTAAAAAGCCTTTGCTGGTGAGGCTGTTGAGGCAGTCGATGTGTCAGTACTCTGGGTAAACAGGCATCCTACTCACAACCCGACCTTTATTCAGCTTGCCGTTTTATTCAGACGCTTTGAAGGGAGGTTCGTTTGCAGAGCTAACTCTGGACGGGACAGGAACAGGACCTACCCACCCTCCTGTTGGGAAAACTAAATATTTAATGTGTTGCATCACCTGTGTTCATAGTAGTGCTTATGAGGACGTGAGCCCTCTGCCTTCCCCCTGGCAGCTCCCGGCCCATGTGCAGTCTGTGGAGTCCCAGTTCTCCACCTGGCTCTCGGCCACACACTGGTATCAGGGTGTAGGGTGAAGGAAACGGTCTCTGCTTTGCAGGTGGCAAATGTTCATTCAATCCTACCTCAGCTGCCATAGCAAGACTGTCCGACTATCCAGTTACAGGCTATCCAGTTACTGAATAAAATGTCTATGTTTTTCAGGCTCTGTAATGTTTAGAAAGACATAGTTGGGTTCTTTATAACCCGTTCACCATAATTATCAACAGCTGTCATATTCAGCGTAGTATTTCTAGGACAATTAATAAGCATTTATCAACCCCAATGTTTTAACTTTCACATTAGGTCACATTCAGTAGGATTTAGGAAGCCAAACAGGAACATTTTTAATTTGTCCCTAATCAGTTAATAAATGTTCACAGATCGAGAAGGAGTGGGGAATAATCACAAGGCACTTTAATCTCTCTTTCAGAGATTTTGTTGTCATTTGCATATGTGTAAATATTCATATGTGTATGGTTTGCCTTTCTTAATTAATTTCAGTGGGATTCCTCATAAGACTCTGTAGGTTGTATTTTTCTCTATGACTTTCCAGTCAGTCATTTCCATGTTTTTTTCCCAGGACTGAGATTATAGTTGGTTAAAAAAAAAAGAAAAAAAAAGAGAGAATATAAAATGAGTTGAAAATATCCTTAGGTTAGACTGTTTTCATTTGCTATTGACATGTTTTATTATGCAACGTTTATAAACCGTTTTCTCTGGCAGGTTTTGGAGATCATATTCACTGGAGAACACTAGAGGATGGGAAGAAAGAGGCAGCTGCCAGGTATGTTATATAGCTCTAAATACAGATGTTTCTTAAGAAAATCAAAAAGACTCTATATCAATCTGAAATCTAACTACAGAAAGTAGTAATTATTAGATGATATAAAGGTGATGTAGGAAACTTACTGATTCAGCTCCCTATTGTCCATCAGAGGGAAAATGCAGATTTGCAGAGACATCATCTCCATGTAACCACATCAGTCTAAGCTCCCGGTTGAGATTGTTGAATCTTTGAAATGAGAAGAAAATAGTTTTTGACTGTTTATCAGAGCAAAGAAAGACGAGGACTGTAAACCCACAAACATTTACACATCCTCACTAGTACCCAGTCCCCTGAATTCACACCTACTAATAGCGTCCCTAAAATTGAATGTGTACGTATAGGTTTGGTGCCTGGGTGTGTAATAACGAGAGTTATTTTGTTGCCATCAGGAAAAGCAGCCTGAAAGTTTAAAAATACAGGGAAGTGGTGAGTTATTTAAATAGCATATTCTTGTCTCTGTTAAAATGTCAGAATGTATGTTTTTATTTGTAAGTTACTGTCTCGGTACGTGCCAGTGCGCAGTACTGACCGACCTGCACAGTGCAGATTGATCCTGCATTGTAGGTTGGGTGGTTAATTGAATTTCACACTCTGATTGATCTGTCAGGTGCCGTCCCCTCCCCGCAGAGGGTGAGGAGTGGCAGATGGCCAGAAGCCAGACGAGCGCTGAGGGGGGCGGTGTTCAGCGCGTATTTATACCGCCGTCGTTCCGGTGGCGCGCGGCCGTGCCGGGGAAGGGAGGGGTGGAGGGAGGCGGCGTGCCCGCCCGCCGCGGCCGGACGCGCGCCGCCCGTTGCCAGGGTGAGGCGTGACGCGAGCGGAAGCGCGCGGCGGCGCTTCCGGCGGGGCGGGCGCCATGCCGCTGGTGGTGCTGTGCGGCGCGCGGGGCAGCGGCAAGAGCCGGCGGGCGGCGGAGCTGCGCGCGGCGCTGGACGGGCCCGAGCACGCGGCGCACGTGGTGGCCGAGGCGGAGGGCGGGCGGGCGGCGCTGCTGGCCGAGGTGTCGCGGCGGCTCGGCCGGCGGGACGTGCTCATCGTGGACGCGGGCAACGAGCTGCGCAGCGTGCGCTACGAGCTGTACTGCGCGGCGCGGCAGGCGGGCACGGCGCGCTGCGTGCTGCACTGCGCCGGCGGCGGCGGGCACGGCGAGCCGCCCTTCGAGGCCCCCGACCCCAGCAACCGCTGGGACCGGCCGCTCTTCACGGTGGGCGCGGAGGAGGCGCTGCCGCTGGGCGCCATCCGCGCGGCGCTGTGGGAGAGCCGCCCGCCGCCGCCGCACCGCGCCACGCGCTCCCAGCCGCTCCAGTCGGCCTCCTTCCTGCACCGCCTCGACTGCGCCACGCAGGACGTGGTGGCCGCCGTGCTGGCCGCGCAGCGCGCGGGCGCCCAGCCCGGCCAGCTCGTCCGCGTGCCCGGCGCCGCCGAGGCGCTGCGGCTGAGCCGCCCGCTGGGCATGGCCGAGCTGAGCCGCCTGCGGAGGCAGTTCATCAGCTACGCCAAGACGCAGCCCTGCGACGAGAACCTGCCCCAGCTGGCCAGCATGTTCCTGCAGTACCTGAGCCGCAGCATCCAGTGAGGCCCCGGGGCCAACGAGGTTGCGCCCCGGCCGCTGCTCTCTAGGGAGCTCGTGTCCTGCCCGTCCTGTGTGCGATTTGGTGGGAAGATGGGTCTCGTGTTCCTGCAGCAGCTGAGCAGGCTGTGCTGGGAAGAGGAGGAGCAGGGCTGGCACCCCCGCCACACAACCGTTCTCATCTGCTGGCAAGGAGAGCTCCTCAAGCAATGGAGGCTCCTCTACCGCTTCCCGTGGAGACCCAAATCCGAGCATGTGAAACTGAAAGCCCAAAGGTGGTGGCGGGGCCATTGACTTGTGTCGGGACTCAGAGGATTGGTTTCTGAAGGCTATTTCCAAATATGTCAGGCTGCAGAAGAGACTTCTGTTCCAGGACTGGAGTAGGTGGCGTTTTTAGGATGCAACTGTTTGAATAAATCCTGCCGAATCCAAGAGATAGATTTGCAAATGCTGCATAACAGAAAGATGCTGGCTTAGCGAGTTCAAACTTCTGTTATTATTAAACCTGAAACAGCGTGCCTTAAATGGAGTGTGAAATCTTAATTTATGTGCAGGGCTGTTTTATGGACAAAACTTACTATGGCTTTTTTCTGCAAGATCATTATTAAATATGCTTAAATACATTAATTGTTTAAGAATGATCGCTCTCAATGCAGATGACCTGAAATGCTGTTGTCTTCTCTGGATCTGATGTTGAATCTCTCCCATGAGTCTTTACCAGCTGTGACTGAATAGCTTTCACCTGGCCTTACTTTCAACTTATTTCAGTCTTTGCCACATGAGGCATATTGCTGAAATTTAGTTCTCTGCTTTTATTTATCAACGGATGATTCTCCTGCCTTTTTTTTAGTGGATTTGGTTTAAACCGTGCAGGTACCGTTACCTAAGAGGAGATGGTGAAGGGAACAGGAAGGGTCATCTAAGTGAGGTACTTGGCATTGGCTGTTTATATTTTATATCAGCTGCTAAATGAGCCTTTCTGTTGTGGTACTAAGAGAAGACTACAGAAATAATGTATATAATCTTGTTTCCTAGTCAGGGTAAAGAGAATAAAGTGGAGAAAATGCATTCAGTATCTGTAGAACTTCTGTGAGTTCTCACTGGTTCAGATTATATTGCAAGTTGCAAACACCTTTTAAATTTTACGTTGGGAATTTTTCTTGGCCTGAACGAAGAAAGCGTGTTTCTGTACCAGTTAGAGGTGGTTGAACTCTTCTGACATACAACAGTGATTCTTGATAATAGGAGCAGCACATATTTTCCAGGCTTAAATCCGCAACTCCTGGAGAAAGGAGCAAAATGTTGTCATTTTGTAAAAGAGGATGTTGATGTATTGGCTATGTAGAAATGGTAGACTTCTGTTTGAACTACTCTAAATGTTACTTCCTTCCTTTCCACCCTTTTCTTGCTCTGAGGACCTTAAATGGATGCTGCTGAAAAGAGATTTCACTTCAAACTGATTTGCAGCTAAATAAGAACTTGCCCTTTGGTTCTGCTGGTAACAAATGTATTTGTCACCATGTGCAAAGCTGTTTAAATTCTGTGGGTGACAGCTCTTGAAAGCCTTACCTTATTCTTAACCCCTAAAAAGAATAATGTTCAGAGCTTACAATAGCAAAAAGCTTAACTTGGCTTTGCCTTGTGTTCCTGAAAATTAGTGTCCACATGCCACATTCTCTGCATATCTTCCTGTGTTCCTTCTTCCACCTATCTCTATAGTGCCAGCTCCCCTTAGATACTCTTCCATAGCCTAAAGATTTTATCAGTAAGACAACACGAGATTCCCAATATCTTGCTCTTAGTCTGTTTTAGTTTGTTGCACCTGTCACATTTCAGTAGTTCATCTGCTTGATGGTAGAGCAATGAAAGCTTAGTAAACACTTCCGCATGCAGGACATTTGGAGGCAGATATTGCCTCTGTGTTCAGGTCAATATAGTGTAGCAAGGCTGCAAGTCACCTCTTAAGTGTGTCACTACTTCTGCTAAAAAGGTAAACTTGATGCTGCATAGTCAGGGCATCTTACTAAGAGCAGTGAAGTAATGGATTAATCGCTGCTGCTAACAGCAGGAAATACTCAAAGTTCCTAGTGAGCTAAAGGTCTCCATATAATCACGTAATGCAGCCTGAATACATTACAAAGTAGTTGCTTAGAGAATTTGATCTTGGTAAGCCTGATTTTGTCAGAAGGTGAAATGCTAAGAGTATTTTTAAGAACATTTTTAAATAAAACATGAGCAATAGAAACAGACTGTAGGAATGGATCGGTAGTGAAGGTCAGGTGGATTGTTTGGGGAGAGAGAGAGAATAATATTCATATTGTCACTTAATACACTAAACTCAATATTCTAAGTTAGCCTTTACAAGTAACTACTTGTTAATTGTACAGGGAACTTAGGCTCTTAACTTTTGTCCTTTACATTACTTTTCATTTGTGCTTCAGTTTTACATGATGCCCTTCCTTGCTTGTGCTGCCACTTGTCACAACCATGACAGGTTTGTTGCAGTGCACCAAAGGTGGGAAACTAGCCTGGGTTGCACCTAACAAAATCTGAACTAAGAGCAAACCTTGCAAAGAGAAAAGCCTCCTAGCTTTTGGCTGGCATTCATAATAAATTACTTTTACACATTTAAGATTAGGAAAACCTTTTACAAGATAACAAAGCCGCAGTAGAAAATATTTACATTTCTGTTATTTTCTAGTACTTACAGCTTTTGTAGGTAGGTGTCTTGATTGTCACAACATGCATGTATATGGAATTTGGTTTAGAGGTTCAGCTATAAGCTTTTTTTTGACTTTTTTTTTTTCCTTTTGAAGTGGGTTGCCCCTTATGGTTATCATCCACAAGTCCTGGTGTGGAGCTTGTAAAGGTAGGTACATTCAGTACTACACCTTGCTGAATCTTCTGACTTTTCCATACAAATTGTTTTTATATCATATAAAAGTTATGTAACCACAAGAAAAATGAACTTTGCATTCAAAGTGCAGCTAGCTTTTTATTTTTTTCACTTTGAATGGTATAATGTGGCAGTGTTTTACCTGTCAGTGCTGCTAACCCATGCCATGGGCATGGCTGCCCCAGCCAGCCATGGCTGTAATAGCAAATCAACAGCTATAAATATTGATTTTTTTTTTTTCAAGCTCATTGAAAAATACCTGCTGTGCAGCAGGAGGAATGGAGTAGAGATTTTGGTGCTGTCTGCCCTGAAATTTTCTATACTTGCTTTATACATTTTTTTTTTTCAATTTCTCCCTTACCCTTTTTTCTTCTTTTTCTTAATTAGCTTTAAAACCAAAGTTTGCTGAATCCAAGGAGATCTCTGAACTTGCCCATAATTTTGTTATGGTCAACCTTGAGGTAGGCTGTCCTCTGGTTCGTATCGGGGTTTTTACTACATAATTAAGCATTTGGAATCCTTACTCATTTCATCCGATCTTGGCTGCATCCTAATCCTGCATTCCTGAATAGATATTCAGGATAGATTGATACAGCTGATGGTATTGAATATGATTTCTTTCTAAAACAATTATTTTAATTATGGTTATGAATGCGACTTTTGTAATCTTTTTAACAATTGTGCCTTGAGTTACTGCACTGCAGCAATAAAGGACTTTATGTTCATTCTCTCAATACATGTCAAACATTTTAACACCAAAGTGAAATCTGCTTAATGCAAAGCTACAACACAGGAAAAAGGAAAAAAAAAAAGATAATTTTCACAAATGATACTTGTTTGGGTGAAAATATCTTTATTTCCTTTGAAAGTGGAAGGTAACATGTCCCCCCTCTTCTGTCTCACTTTGGTAGGATGATGAAGAACCAAAGGATGAAGCTTTTAGTCCAGATGGAGGTTACATTCCCAGAATCCTTTTCATGGGTAAGGTGTCCACAGGTGTTGAATCCACGGGGTTCTTACACTTCTTGCTCTCTTACCGCTTAAATATCCTGTTTGTTTTCTATTTTTCATAGATCCCAGTGGAAAAGTCCACCCAGAGATCATCAACGAGAAAGGAAATCCCAGCTACAAGTATTTCTATACCAATGCTGATCAAGGTATGTGCAAAGGAGTTTTAAGTGCATCTTTAGTGGAGGAGTGTGAAGAAAAAAAGTAAGATTGGTCCTGAATGGGAAAAAAAAGATACTTCACAGCATGAATGGAAGCTGTTACATGGAAGGTGAATGAGTGATTATTTTGAGGAGCCATGTTCAGGATTAGGATACACCTTAGACAGTAACACTTATGTGACCTAAGCTGTCTCTGCATTTGTGGCGTGAAAAACCACACAATTCACACAATCCAGCTGCAAAATGTTGTGAGAGGGAAGAGTGCTCTGCTTTTTTTCCCATGGGTACTTTGTTGATGTACATTCTGTAAATCTGTGTTGATTTAAAACACTTTTATGACCAAGAGACCTTGGTGTTTTTGTCTTGAGATTAGTAAGTTGGTGTCTCTCTGTCTAATCTTACAGTTGTCCAAGGGATGAAGGAGGCCCAGGAGAAGCTGACAGGTGATGCTTTCAAACAAAAGCACCTGGGAGATGAACTATAATAAATACACTGAATGATGCTTTTTCATCACTTCAAAACTCTAAAATAAAATGATTTGGTTTTTAATTATTAAACCATTAAAGAGGCCAAGAATGTACATACGCTGGAGGGGAGGGACATCAATCTCCTATAAACAATGTTAGGTTAAACCCTGTTTGAAATGCACACACATACATCAATTACAGTGTTATCTCCTCCTCTGCACAGCAGATTGGTTGTGTAACAATTACTAGCAACTAGGTAATGTACAAACACACTGATCCCAGAGTGGGGATCCTGTAACTGCCTGTAGGGCAGCAACTACTAATATTCCATGTTAAAAGGGAGGTATGTGGGGCAAAACTTTCATCTGAGAACAAACAGTGTGACTAGAGTAATTAGACACAGCCAACACTTTGGTGTTTATTCAGGGTTTGATCCCTCTCTGCTCACTGGTATTGTGTGATCTCATTGTTTTTAATGTCAATATTCAGATTAATGGGGCATGCTCCTGGGCCAGACATTTTTTCAGACATTTCCTAATCATTAATTCTGCGACTAAACGAAGTAGAATAAATTTCATGAATGTCCAAGAAGCATGTGAAATTATTAGCTCTGCAAACATATTTTTATGTAGAACTTTGTGTAGTGATTTATCTTTATTTGCCTGTGGGCAGAAATTGAACTTATTCCTTGTGCACTCACCTTTTGATTGTTTTATGAAATGAAGGTGGGTTATATAGAAGCATTATGGGGATTTTCCTTTATTCTTTGAATGTTTTTTGGAGAATGCCTTGCCATCACATTGTACTGTATTTTTGTACCAAGGTGAAAAATTAAACATTTTTAAACACAAATATGTCAAGAGTGTTTGGTGGTAAAGGGTAAACCTTCTCCAGGTGCTAACCAGTCTCAGCTCCCTCAGCTTCTTTTCGCATGAGAGGTGTTTCAGTCCCTTAATCATCTTTGTGGCCCTTTGCCTCTCACTCCAGTGCATCCTTGTCATTTTCTTACTGGGTCCAACACTGGACTCCCCAGTACTCCAGGTGTGGCCTCACCAGTGATGGATAGAGGGAAAGAGTTGCCTCCCCAGACTTGCTGATGATGCTCATCCCAGTACAGCCACAAGAGCACATTGCTGGCCCATGCTCAGCTTGGGGCTATCAGGACCCTCTGGTCCTTACCTGCAAAGCTGCTTTCCAGACTTTTCTCCCTGTGATGGTCTATAGGGTTATTCCTGCCCAGACTTTGCACTTCTCCCTGTTGATGGAAGGCTTCTCTGCCCATTTCTTAGGCTGTCAAGGTCACTCTGAGTGACCGTACAAGTATCTGGTCTGTCAGTCACCTCTGCCAGGTCTGAATCATCTGCAAAGGTGCTGAGGGTGCATTTTGTCCCATCTTCTAGGTCACTCAGGAAGAGGTTAAACAATCTTGTCCTTAATTTGACCCAGGTGAGACAGGTCTGGTGACTGGCCTCCAGCTGGACTTTGTGCTGCTGATTGCAACATTTGAATTGCTGAGCTCACTTGCATTTCACTTTCCTCATACATTCTGCTATCCTAATTTGGCTTTTTAACTCTCACCTGCTAGATTTAGCCTAGTAGTTTTAGGTAGAACATTTCTGTGGTTGTTGAGTTATTAATGTGATAGAAACCAAAGGAAACAAAAAGCATCTGTATGTATGTATAAAAATGTGTATGTATATATATACATGCATACTTGCACACAGAAACATGCACATATCTGTGTGTTATTCATCCTTCTTTGCAGTTCCCAAGAAGTGTTAAAGAGTCACTGCCATGTTTTTCTTTTCCCCATGTCATCCAGGAACTTGTCTTTGGGACTTCTCCAGTCTCTACATGTTCCTTTATGGAAGATTTTCCCTGGAAAAAATGAAGGGGTTTAGCAACTCTTTAGATTAGCTGAATCAGATGTTTAATACGTTTTGAAAAGAAGCATTTTACTCATAAATAAAAAAAGGAAGCTTCAGCGAACTCAATTTTGCCATCTTTATTGAACTAGCTAGTGCAATTAAGAAGGGGAAGGGCAGCAGCTCAAGCACAGACACCCTCTTTCAGTTCTGAAATCGAAGTAGTCATTTTAAAGCTAAACAAAAGTCAAGAACATTTGCTCTGCATTTAATGTGATAAAATTAATCAGTTGTATGACTCAACGAAGAATGTCTTTAGGCACTTGGAGAGTAAAAAAAAAAAAGTCAAAAAGATATTCATAACAAGCACAAAGAGATAAAACTTCTATGGATGATTTTGAGGAGCTAGCTGAGCCACATGTCCAGTGAGTCCTTTTTTTATGGCTCAGTTGTGTTATGAATTCTAGTTTCCAGACTAGTCTTCCTTTAAGGCATTTTGGGCATTGTAATTCAGCTGGACACTAAGAGACAATGACTCAATGCGGGGGAGGCAAATTGGATTTATTGCACATTACAGTTACTCTGCTCAGCTACTAAAGTTTTTCTACAGGTTGTATCCTCTGCTTTTCTTGCTAATTTGCTAATAAATTAACAATCCAATTAAGCTCAGCAACTATTCTCAAGTTGTATCAGCCTTCAAAATAAATAATTCTATTCCCCAAAAAAGGATTTGTGTTCTGTTGAAATTGCCATTTTTAGCTCAATCGGTTGACCTAATAAAAAACAGGTCCTCTCTGATTCTTCTTCATGCTTATCCTTGTAAAAAAATATTTGCCAGTGTTTTTCCTACTTGCCACCAGGGGGAGGACTCTGCTTGTTCATCTGGAATCTGAGTCAAAAAGATGTAATTGAAAAAGCAATTACTGATGTAAAATAGCAGGGTGCAACTCTGTGATTTACCAGGCACGCTTGCACAGCAACCTTGCCCTCATTTTAGCTCTGCAATGAAATTACACTCTGTGACGTGCATAATTATTCGTCCCAAAGCCTCGCTGGGCAAAACGCTCTGATTTCAGAAGAAAATGTGGCCTCAGAGTAATATCTAAAAAGTTCTCCATCCACTCTCCATCCATCTCTTCCATGATAGATCTGGGAGGTGTGTTTCAGCTTTTAGGCTTACGAGCATTTCAATTCAAAAATACTTTCCTTCACCTCTTCTGTGATGTGTCTCTTCTCCCTCAGCACTTTCTGCCTTCCAGACTTTGCTACTTCTAATGGGAAAAAAAAAATCTTTTTTTTTTCTTTTTTCCTGTGACATCATTCAAGTAATGGCTGTGTCTTACCCTTATGGACAGGGTGGGCTGGTACAGCCTCAGCCTCCCCATCATCCCTTGTTCTTGCTCTGCTCCTGACCAAGTTTTTATCCTTTTCAGTAGCAAGGTGGATCTGGGGGCTTCCTGGCTGGGGTGACAGAATATGATGTTTGTCCTGGCATGCCTTGATGGCTATGGACAGATAGTTAACAAGTGTTAAAGCTGGTTCATATCTCTCTTGATCTGTTATTTAAATATAAATGATATAAATGTTTTTCTATCAGTATCTTTATGACTTCCAATAAACTGGTATACTTACATAACTTCCTTCTATCCATTCTACAAATCCCCTTGGATCCTCAGCTTCTCCCCCTTTCATGAGGAGAACAAAACCCAAAAACACTTCAAAATCAGTAGCGTAGACCTCGGGCAAATCAATCTCATACGAACAAACTTACTGTCAGCTCCCTTCCTCCCAGAAACAAACCACAGAGGAGAAAAACCTCTAAAGTTAATTAAAGAGTGACTTGATTGCAGCTAGCCATCTGGCTGCCTGGGAACAGAGGTTGCGCTGTGCACCTGGGGCCAAGCAGGCTGCAAGGAAGTGTCAGCAAGAGACTCTGGAAACCTTCTCTGTGCCTTGCGAAGCAGCAGGGAACAAAAGGCTTATCTGCAAGGTTGCATCCTGCTTCCAGGGAGCTGTGCAAGTGGCTGAGGTGCCTGGGGAGTTTGCTGCCTGAAGGGAACCTGGAAACAATCACAAATGGCTGTCAAAATAGCAAAAGCCATTTTGTGCCAAAACTATTTGGCACAGAATTAACTCATTCCTCCATTCTTCCTCCAAGAAACAGGTGCCGATTGGTTAAGCAGGTTAGTCAAATAAACTCCATTTGCTTTTCCTTTCAGAGTTTGTGTAGTGCTAGGAGTGGCTACACGCAATCCCCAGGCTCACCATTGTCCCGAGAGCACTGCTCCTGAAAGAGGTGGGATTGACTCGCAGGCGCCAGCTGGATATCACCACGTCAGCATAGCGCCAGGAGAAGGAATCACCACAGTGTTAACGCACCACCCACAGCAAAGTAGGGGGAAAAGCGGCTGAGGCTTGTGGGATCCTCTGTAGGCCATGACAAACGTCAAGACTCCAATTTGTGATGGCTAAATCAGTTGCAGGTCTCTTAGATTAAGGAGAAAAAGAGAGAGGGAGATGGCAAGTTTTCTCTTAATAACTAGCCTGGAAGCAGGGCCTGGTAGACCCGTGCTCCAAGTATGCCCAGTGCTGCCTCCAAGCAACACGAGACGCTGTCACGCACCACCCTCGCTGGCGCACGTCCCGGGGCACGTAGAGCAGCCCTTGGAGCACACGCGGGCGCAGGCAGGGCACGTCCTGGCACGGCTCACCAAGTCCTCAATGGGTGCTGGCCAAGCAGTAGGGACTTCTGAGCTGTTCCTGCCTTCAACTTCTCTCCAGCCAACACGGAGTCCACAGGTGTCTCCTTCCCTTCTTCTATCCCTACAGTGATAAACCCACTGCTGCCTCTCTAAGCCAGGAAAATGAGAGCTCCTGGAGCAATGCAGGGATCCAGGTAGGGCTGCAGGCACGGAGCAGGGGCCTGCACAGCCCACCTGGACCATGGGCCAGGCTGCAAGTAACCAGGAGGTCACTTACAGGTGTATGGAGGCGCATTTTGCACATGCACAACATAGGCAATGTGGAAGTGCCACGAAAACGTTAATGGCTAAGAACAGCAGATGTTCTTTCTGCTTTCCGAGTGTGTTTCAGGAGGTGAGGTAACACGCTGTGCCTAAGGGAAGCCTGACAGGCAGCACGTCAAGCCTGGATGCCACCTTGCTTCTAGTACTCATAACCTCTAGCAGTAGGACCAGTTTGCAAACTACATTTTTAAGGGCTTCAGTGCATTAGCTGTGTTAAAGAGAATTAAATTTGCACACATTTTGGGGAGACAGCGTGGTGCATTTAGGCTGCCTATACCATGCTGAAAAGGAAAAGTGCATGGATGTGTGCTACCTATCTGAATAAGGAGAATTTTTTTTCCTTGCAATTGGAACATTTTATTCTATCTTCCCTAGACAACAGCTGACAATGAGCAGAAACTACTGCTCTGTGTGCAGACTGTGTTTATTTGGGATATTGTTTTATCTGCATGTGACCACTGCTAATCAGAAGCTCAGACAAGGGGGCTTTTAAACTCAGGGTCATTATTGTTATTATTATTTACAGCATCACATGTAGCAAGCCCTCATCGTTCATTTAGGTGCCTTGGTGCTGTTTTTGCTGTAGTAATAAACAAAGCAACAAATAAAATACTGTTTTTAGAAAAAAAATAATTTTGTTGAGTCAATTGCTTAGGGTGAGGATGATCTAACAAGTTAGAAACGGCATGAGAGCAGCAGACTCTGTGTATCATATGCTTGATAAATGTGCTTACATGAGTGCTGTGTGAGAGTCAGACAGATGTACATGTCAGGTAACAAGATAAAGTGTAACATCTGCTCTTCCCTTCCCACTCAGCACGCTCGTGGGAGCTCTCTCCTGTGCCACGTCTCCATTTGCCCAGCTAT